TCGGTCCGAGACAACATTCAATTGTTTAAGATGATGTGTAAGTATACTAACACCCTTGTATAATATTTCATTCATTTCATTTTAAGTTCCACATGTCAATATGAAGTATTTTCCATTTAATCTTTTATAGGTGTATAGAAGCATGCTCAGTCATGGAGGGTAAGCCTAAAAAGAAACCCACATGGATACTTCCACATGTAAGCACGTTATCTTTCAAATTCTTAACTTTAATTTACTCATTTTCTGTATTTAATGTTTTTTTTCTTATAGTGTAATAAGCAAAAAGGAAGTTGGGAGTGCGGATATTATGTGATGAGACATATGTTAACAATCATCACAGACAAATATCACAGATTCATGGAATTTGGTATGTGTTATGACTATATCTATGTCATTGACATATATTTGCCTACTTGTGCTTATCTGAAGTGTTTTTTGTTTGTTTGTAGATATTCGATGATGGTCATCCAATAAGTGAAGCAGAGATTGATGACATTAGACGACTTTAGGCAGATTTTGTTATTAAGAACTATAGTCGTGATTGAATACTTAATTGTGAAACATTAGGACTATATTCTTTGTATATATAAAACTTAGAATACAATACATGTTCATTGTTTGTTGATAACAATGTAGATATATAATATACATTATGTTTACTTGTGTGTTGATGCATGTCCTTTATAGATTAACATTCTGAGTAGCTGTAAATATTTGCAATGCTGTACAGGTTATGAAAAATCATAAACTCAAATTCGTATTTGAAAAAAATATATGACTTTCCACATCGGTTATGACCTAGAACTGATGTAGAAAGTCATTTTTAATACTTTCCACATCGGGTCCTGCCATAACCGATGTGGAAAGTCAGACTTTCCACATCGGTTATGGCAAGACCCGATGTGGAAAGTCAGAGTTTCTACATCGGTTCTTAACCGATGTTAAAACTCACCAAGTTTCTACATCGGTTGTATCTACATCGGTTGTAGAACCGATGTAGAAAGCTGCTAAGAACCGATGCTAAGAATATATATATATATATATATATATATATATATATATATATATATATATATATATTAGTATGATAGTTAATCATTACTCTAACATTGTATTCCTTAGTGTGGTTGATTAAAAATTAAGAAAAAAATAAAGAACTGGCTATATTTTTTTCATATATTGTAATGAAATCTTGTATCACAATGACTTAATGCCCTTCATGAACATATGTCAACCATATGAAGAAAGGATAATCAATGGTAATTTATTTTATATTTAGGATCCTTGTGTTGTGTCTACTCTATTCTATATCGAATCTCCAAACCCATTTTTTTATATTTTGGATCCATGCACCCACTCTTTTACATTTTGGATGCTGGTATGGTATCCACTCTATTGCAATTTGGGTCCTCGAGTCCGTTTTACTCGCATTTTGGTCCTTGCACCCACTCTTTTACCTTTCAAGTCTCCATACTAATTCTTTTTTACATTTCAAACCTCCATACTCATGATTACCACTCAATAACTTTCATTCTTTAACAAAATTGGATTGATATATTTACTTATAATTTATTGTAATAATATGAAAGCTTTCACTATTTATCAATTTATAAATTTAAGTAAAGAGGGCTAATTGTTAATACCTAATTTTAATCTATTATTATTATTATTATTATTATTATTATTATTTGTGCCCTCATGCTTCTTGAAAGATATATAAACTCCTTTATGAGATAGTAAATGATTTTATTATTGTCTTAATTATCCAGTTACATATTAAATATATTTAAAATAGAATAATTGATAATTAATATAGATAATTAATTACCATCCTTTTAGATTCTTTAAGATTTTTAGAAATTAAACTAAGTAAAAACTTGTGGATGATTGATATAATTTTTTAATACTATTTCTATTTATTTTGTTCACATACTAACTTAGCATCAAAGTGTCTTTACAAGATTTTCATTCTCTGTTTAATTAGAACTTTGTAGAAGCTTATCCGAGTTGATCCATGAATCTTTTAGAGATTTGGCTAAACTTTTCTTAGTATTATATTTCTATAACTGGAAATTTTATGGTTCTATTTAATAAAGAAAATTATTTAATATTTATACCATTTTGGGATATTTAACTTATTTTCTTGGTTTCGAGGAGACAAGAAACAAAGATGGAATACACCTTTGTTAGAGAAAGTATACATTGGATCTTCTTAATGAGACCAGCATGCTTGGATCTGTACTAGCTACCACCCCTATGAATTTCTTTAAATGGGTCAATTCTTCTTCAGGTGAGCCCCTTGCTAATTCCACTTCATACAAAAGATTGATTGACAAGCTGATTTATCTTACCAACATCGAGACTTGATATTACTCGTGCGGTTCATCATCTTAGTCAATTCATTGATGCTCTTACCACTAATCATTGTCATACTACCTTGTTGATCCTAAGGTATCTAAAAGGTTTTCCTAAATAAGGAATTTTGCTTAGTGCTAACAGCAATCTACAACTAAAAGCTTTTAATAATGTTGACGTCGATCTATTATTGACTACATTGTTTATCTTGTTCATTATCCAATTTCCTAGAAATCAAAAAGCAACTTACAGTTTCTAGAAGATTGTCTAAAGTAGAATATAGAGTTCTTGTCTTTACCACATGTGAAATTCAATGGCTCTCCGACATTTTAGAAGATCTTCATGTTCCATACATAAAGTCATCTCTCTTATATTATAACAATCAATTTGTTATCTAGATTGCCTCAAACAAAGTTTTTCATGTACAAAACATATAGAAATTGACTGTCATATTGTTAGAGAAAAGATTCATCAAGGCATCATAAAATTGTTGCCTTATAGCTCAAAATTTTAGTAAGTTTATCTTGTCACCAAAGTCTTACCTACTTCAATCTTTCATATTCACATTTCCAAACTGGCAATGTGTGATATTTACTCTCACTTGAAGGAGTTGTCAACAACCTTTGTTTAGTGCTTCTTAACCATTTTTTATTTCTAATTGCTTTTCTATATCTATATTATACCTCCTTTTTGGGTTCTATTTCCATACATATTTGTTTCTTTTCTTTCCTGTTTTTATCTCGTTCTCATCTTCTTTCTCATATTTTCTTTTTATTATCCTTGTGGGTCTCATTAAGAATTTTAAGATACAAAATTAATGATTATTCAACAAAGGATTCATCCACTTTTAGTAAATGAGCTTAAGCTCTATAATAAAATTAAAACTTTGATCATCTTAAATTGAATGAAAGAAGAAATGTGTTTTTTTCTTAAATGATAAATTAATTTATTAGAATTTGACAATTATTCAAAAATTGGTAGTTAATTCAAAGTTTATAGGATTGAAGAAAATATTATATATTATTTCTAAATGATGTTGGAAAGTAAAACATGTCTGTCTTATTGCATTCTATCTAGATACGATAATTTTAATATTGGACTATTAAATAGAGAATTTAAAGTAATTAAATAGTAATTAATTATAGATTGAATATTATTATATTATCTACTAGCACAATTGAAATAAAATAATATATTCAAAATATTTGGAGAATATAAATGAAAGGAAATATTCATGATTTGATTGAAACCAAGCTTTTATTGATATCATTAGATTTGATTCAAATCATTTAATGAAATTTAATTGAAATCATTCAAAGAGTTGTTAGTATGCAAAACAGTTATAAGATATAAAGTAATTTTTATTTCTCGAGTATGCTGTAAAATTAACAAAGATTAGTCTTAGTATAGACCGACATAAAATTCTCACATAAATTTCTTTAATGCTGTAAGGATTGATCAACAAATACTTAATGCTATGAATTGTTCTTATACTTATAATTTATATATAAAATAATCATTATTTTTTTCGGTGTATTATGAACACCTCTATAGTTCTCTTTTAGCTGTTCCATCAAAGGCTTTCAAATTATAAGAGTTTATCTTATTCACATTGTAATTTAAAACAAAAATATGTATTAGAATTAATTGGATAGCATATTCAATATTAGAAAAGGATTATTCAAAGCCTTGGTAATTAATTCAGTCCACAATATCATGTGTCATCATACACCCGGAGCATTTTGTTTTAAGTTAATTAAAAAACGCTAATTAACACACAGCATGCAGAAAAAGTTGAAAAGGCTACCACTAGAAAAGAAATTATACTTCAATGCTATGCCTTATTCTTAAATAGTATCATGTTCAACTTCCTTACATATACACCAGACCTCTTGAATTTGTCACAAGAGAGCTGAAAAGTTGAGACCCCAAAACAAAATTGTCCAAAATTAAATGATCAACCATGAAGATGGAACCAATGGATAGCCAATTTATAACCACATCAAAAATCAAGTGCTCAAAGATCCTCTTCCAAATCCAATCTTGGACCAACAAAATTCTATATACATATTCAACCTTTTTAACGTCGGAAATAAACAGTGACTCTGTTTATTTCCTCCCAGTCACAACAACTATACAGGTAAGAATGGTGAACTGAATTTTTGTTTTTGCATGGTTAAGAGGATGAAGCTTCAATAATGGCTAGCAAAGGGAGTTCTTGTCCGGATTTTGGAAACATGAAAATGCAGCCAAATTAACAATTAAATGTTCTATCTTCGTCCATCACCCCATTGCTTCTTGTGGCTTCCGGTTTTCACATGTGGATTTCGGTGCCCAATACCTTGCTTTGGGAGGTCATGCAACTCCATAACCTGTACTGTCCGCTGTCTCTTAGCTGAAAATGAGATTCATCAAGAAGCAGTTTCATCAATATATATATTTAGTTATGAACTGAGATACATCATATGTTATGAATTTTTGCTTCCAAATCAGGCTCTAAATTTTGAAATCTTCATATTTCATATCCAACATTTAAAGGCTATTATCAGGAGAATTAAGAGATAACCGTTTTTTCTGTTAGTTAGTTACACTTTTGATTGTTGACAGCTGTATATATATAAGTTTGTACTGTTTCTTTTCAATCAATGGAAACCTTACTACAATTCTCAAAAGTAGAGATTTTCTTTCGCTTTCATGAGATATATCTTGGTTCTCCATGGTTACAACGGATGATTCCAAATTCAATCTCTTCACCATGGATGTTCTCGTTTCTCATCCTTTTTATGTGTTCTTGGCAAACACCCATCAAGATGGTTCTCCTTGGCAAGAACAAGTTTGGTTTTGTCAACTGTTCCATCCATGAGCTTCCGATGGAAAATCCCAATCATGTTGCCCAGCATTGCAACAACATCATTGCTTCAAGGATCTTGAATTCTCTAACAAAGGAAATGCAAACAAATGCTCTTCACTATTCCACAGCAATGACTATATGAAATGATTTGAAAGAACGTTTTTAAGCAAAAGAATGGTGGTTTAATTTTTCAATTAGATCGGAATTATCTATCATTGAAAGCTTTTGGTTGTTTAGCTTTGCCGCTAGATACTCTTCCTTCCAATAGGAACAAGTTTGTTGGATATCCAAAGGGATACAAAGGATATCGGCTTTATGACCTTGACTCTAAGAGGTTCTTTATTTTTTACTACATGACATTCTATATACGTTGTGTATTTCTTATTTTGAAAAAAATACAAAGAAGGTATAAATAGAATACAAGATAATAAACCTATACACTAAATCCTATTATATTAGCATTAAATCCTAGTACAAATCAGAATTGAATTATTCTAATTGATAACGCTGATCTCCACCACTCACCCTCAATCTGGGTGGTAACTCTACCCAGATTGGATCTAATGTTTTCATATGTGTTCCTTGGAAGAGCCTTTGTCAAGATATTTGTTGTTTGTTTGCATGATGGAAAATGGTCATAATACCATGATCAACTTTTTCTTTAATGAAGTGTCGGTCAATTTCCACATGATCTGTTCTATCATGGTGGATTGGGTTCTTTGTTATGCTTATAACAGCTTTGTTGTCACACATTATCCTCATAGTGTAATTTATAGGAATTTTGATTTCATCCAACATCCTCTTAAGCCATATTTCTTCACAGATACCTTGAGTCATAACTCTGAATTCAACTTCTGCACTACTCCTTGCCACCACAGGTTGCTTCTTGCTTCTCCAAGTCACCAATTTTCCCCATACAAAGGAACAGTAGCCTGTAGTTGATTTTCTGTCAAAGGGACATCCTGCTCAATATGAATCAATATGGTTTGAGTTCTTCTTGAAGTAGAGCCCTCGGTCTGGTATACCTTTGAGATATTGGAGTATTCTGTTTGTCATTCTCATGTTGGCCTTAGTTGGATTAGATGTATGACGACTAGCCAGACTAACAGCAAACCCAATGTCGAGTCTGGTATGAGTTAGGTAGATTAGCTTCCCAACTAGTATTTGATATCTATTTTTATCAGTTGATGAACTTTCTTCTTCACCTCTCTTTTTTTGGTTCTATGGGAGTATTGGCTGTCATACACCCAAGCATGTCATGTCAGTTTTTTGAAGTAAATCCAGTATATATTTTCTTTGTAATACATAAATACCATCTTTCGTCTAAGCAACTTCCATCCCTAGAAAGTATTTGAACTGGCTCAAGTCCTTAACTTCAAATTATTTGGCTAAAAAGTCTCATGAAATGCTTGATTTGATCATAAAAGTTTCCTGTGATAACAATATCATCAACATAAACAATGAACAGGGCTACCTTCCCTTCTGTGGAGTGCTTGACAAACATCATGTGATCTTATTGGCATTGGTTGAATCCATCTTCTTTGACAATCCGAGTCAATCTATCAAACCATGCTCTCGGAGATTGCTTAAGGTCATATAAAGATTTTTGGAGCCTACACACCATGTTTGAGGTTTGGATGATTCAAGTCCCGAAAGAATTTGCGTATAGACTTCTTCCAGTTCACCGTTTAGGAAGGCATTCTTGATGTCTAGTTGATAAAGTGGTCAATCTAAATCTGCAGCTAAAGAAAGTATAAATCGGATTGATAATCGATGCAAATGTCTCTTCGTAGTCCACTCCATACAATTGGGTAAGCCTTTTTGCCACTAGTCGGGCTTTGTACCGATTGATACTACCATCTGCATTGTATTTGATGGAGAATATGCACTTACATCCAATCGATTTCTTCCCTTTTGGTAGGGTGGTGATTTCCCATGTGTCATTTTTAACCAAGGTCTGGACTTCTTCTGTTACAACTGTTGCCCATTCAGGTTGTTGGAGTGCCTCTTGAACATTTCTTGGGATCTGTATGTTGTCAAGAGCTACCACAAACGACCTATACCCCTGTGACAATTTTCCATAAGACACATAATTCCCAATCGGGTGTTGAGTGCAAGATCTCACCCATTTTCTTAATACAATAGGAATGTCAATGTCATCAATAGGTTCAAGATTAGAAACGATATTACCTAGGGAAAACTCATTTTTTGAGGCTTGGTTTGATACATGACTTTGCCTTAGAGTTGTGCTAGACTCTACTTCCTTTCTTTTCTTCCTAAAGTATGTAATAGGGCCTTGATTTTGCTAAGATGCAGTCCTCTCTCTAGCTTCAGTTGGTACAGTTTCCTCTATTGCAGGTGCAGTCTCGCTGGCTCTGCATTTCCTACTGTATTTTCCTCTGCTGCAGGTGCAGTATTGGTTGGTTCTGCATTTGGGGCAGATTCCAAAAGTTGAGATTCCGCCACTTCAATTGGATAAATTGGATAAGTCTGCTCCCTAAATGCCAACTTTAAGGTAATAAGGCTGATTTTCAAAAAAGGTAACATTCATGGTGTGGTAAAATTTCCTGGTTTGAGGTGAATAACATTTATACCCTTTTTGGTTGGGAGAATAGCCAAGGAAAATGCATTTGATGGATTTTGGGTCAAGTTTGTTGCGACGAGGATGGAGGTTATGGATAAAGGTTGAACATCCGAATATTTTCAAGGGAATGGATGTAAGGATACGACTAGCAGGGTATGAGGTTTGGAGAGTAGCGTAAGGGGTGTTAAAGTTAAGGATTCAGGAAGGCATTATGTTTATTAGGTAGGTTGCAAAGAGGACAGTTTCTCCCCAAAATTGGTTTGGTACCTTTGAGCAATCAATCAAGTAATCATAAAAGCTATTTTCAAGAAAGAATCGCACAAGTTTTGTGGTGTTTTTGAAAGTTCTTTCTTGAGGCAATTTTTGCATTCTTTTGGTGAAGAAACTCATTCTGTTGAAGCTGCATAATCCGGGTTTGATTGTTCGAATTTCTTCTCTTTGTTTCTTTATATTTCTTTACTGTATTATAGGTGTCTGGAATTGTTGGGCACTGGTTCTGTAGCTGGAATTTGGCTGCAGGTTGGTACAAGAACTGGAACTTGGTTCTTGGGTGGTGAGTGTCTGGAATTGTTGGGCACTGGTTTCTATGGCTGGAATTTGGCTGCAGGTTGGTTCAAGAACTGGAAGTTGGTTCTTGGTGAATGTTTAGGTGCAAGATCTGGAATTTGGGTCTTGTGGTAGATTGGGTGTGTGATTGGAATCTGTAATTTGTAAAACATTCAATCTAGTGGAACTCAGCTGGAATTTGGCTGAGAACTAGACGTAGCCCTGGGATTGGGTGAACTAGTATAAATCTTGGTTGTATTTCTCTAAACTTTACTCTCTTTAATTCTGCTGCTGTCTTTATTTTAAATTGCTTATTTTTCTTGATTCAAGAATTGGTCAGAACTCTTAATCTTTGAAATAGATAATTTGTAAATTGCGAAAAACTTTCAAAGATCAATTCACCCCCCCTCTTGATCTCAGCCTCTTTTTCTAACAATATTAACACCCCTAATGATTCATATAATTATCTCCTTATAGAACAAGACATATAAGCTATAAGGGTTATTCAAGAAAATGATCCTCAAACATAGAAATGCATGAGTAACCATACCAAACAGGTAAATTCATACATCATCAAAATCATCCTCCTAGCACAAAACTAACATGAAAAGGTGTAGCCATCATAGCTCATCAAAACATTTATTGCTGCACTTAGCCTCAAGCTAAACATGGCGGAGATAATGAAAATCGTCAAATATTATTTTAGCTCTGAGTTTTACATGGTGGAGGGAATGAAATTCACCAAATATTATTTTAGTCCTGAGCTAAACATGCCAAAGGTAATGAAATTTACCAAATATTGTTTGAGCCTAAGTTAAACATGACAGAGATAATGAAACTCACCCATTATAAATTTAGCCTCGAGCTAAACATGGCGGAGTTAGCGAAATTCATCAAATATTATTTTTTTCAAGTTAGATGTAACCACCACTAAATGTAGTTATCATAATACGTCAATATTCTCACCTAGCGTGATCTAGTATGAAAGGATGGAATTACCACAACTCATCACATTTATAGGCAAAAGCCAATAGCATGGAGTCTACGAAACACATCTTAGACAAATAAAACAACTTTATATTAAATGATTAGAATTATATATTAAAATTGAACTAAGTTTTATTTGAGTTATATTCATCGAATTATATATTAAAAACATATCAACTTAGATTTTATCCGAGATATATTCATCCAAGTTTACAATCATTTGAGCATGTCATTATTCTATAATAATTATTCGAGAATGTCATTTGAATATGTCATTATGTTATAACAATAATACATCATAATACTGAATCACAAATATAAAACAATCATCAAAGCTTCATCTTATCAAAAAATCATATATCTATATAAATTTGACCATCATATACTTCAAAAATATGTTCTATTTCGAGATAGCTTGGTAATAATCCTAAATTAAGCACATTTCGGGCATAATTCTAAATTAAACAAATCTCACTCATAAAATTGAGCACATTACTAAATTGAACTCACTTCTACTTAATGATATTTTATAAATTGTCAATATAAATTGTACAATTGTCAAGAAAAACTTATAGTCATTGAATCGACTTCATCACAACTGCAATAGAGATCAAAATAATTAATTCAACAAAAAAAGTCTTATAAATAGATAAATTTTACTTAATCAACTTATTCATTTACATCAAAATTAAACTTTTAAGCTTAGGGGCCTTATGTACCTGTTTAGATTCTCAAATTCATAACAAAAATATTCCCTATATTAAGACATATTATGCTAATAATGCATAATTAATCTATTTAATTATAATCAACATTAAATAGATATAATTTACTATTTAAAATACTTTCATAAAATATCTATAAATAGAACTACTTTATTTTTTACAAATCATTTAATTTTTATTTAGAAATTTATTATTATTATTATTATTATTATTATTATTATTATTATTATTATTATTATTCACTTTTTTTTTCTTATATTGACATAAGCATAAAAGTCTCCTTATAGATGAACTTTCTCT